ACTCAAGGCCAGGCTAGTTTTAGAAGGGGAGAGACTAGGTCTGTGTAAAACTGATGTCAGGGTTGAACACAGTGCTTGGGTATGCAGAGGAAGCCACACACTTCCTTCTGTAGAATCTTTGTAGGTGGCTTGTGGCACTTGGGAAAGCAAAGAGTTTGTTGGGTTTGGGCCGACTGATGCTAAGGTTATTTTCTGTCGCTTCTGGAAGCATGTTGAGTTAGGATGAAGTGTAGGCTGGAGTGTTTGATGATTTAGGAAGAAAACTGATGAAGAAAAAAGTAGTACTTTTGTTTGTTTGTTTGTTTGTTTTCTGTCAATTTTATCATGGTGGGCTTTGGAGAAGTATGCCTCAGGTATCTCAGTACAAAGCAGAACAGCTATAGCACAGGAAACAGCCTTCTTCCCTTGCGATATCCTTGAATAATCATTGAATCCTGCAGTTCACATGTGTGATCAGCACTGCCAGGAACACTGTTTAGGCAGGCAGGTGATGAACCAACTTCTGCCAGGTGTGAGAGAAGGTGATGCAAGCTGCCGCTGTGCAAACCTTCAAGCTTGGCACACATTTCACAGGACATGTACAACTGTTGGTAGGTGGTGAAAAACGTGAGAGCTACCTGGAGATCCTGAATGGAAACTTTCCACCAGTTTTGAGGCTTCCTCTGCCTCCCTTCAGAGTAAAGTCCTGTCAGGGCCAGGCAGGAGCTGGTGACCAACCTTGCTGCATGAGGTCAGAGCAAAATGGCAAGAGGCAGGTGAGGCAGCATTTTGCGCTTGAGTCTTTCAGGCTAAGGCGGCAGACCAAGCCTGGCACTGGTGTGCGGAGAACCATGCTAATACATCCACAGAAGCACAGTAAAAAGGTCTGATATTGCCAAAGGAAGCAGCATGGTCCTATTAGGAAGGAAGAAGCCAAATTGTTTTCCTGTATGCCCTTATAATTTCTCTTCCTTAACCACCTGAGTTTCCTTCATTCTTATTCCCAACAGAATACAAGTGAGATGGCATCTCCTTATGAGGGGAGGTGAACCAGAAGTTGCCTAGTCTTTTTCAGAGTCTTTTTCTCCTCGCTAGTTTCCTCTTTGCTCAGTGTCTGAGAATATGTTGCTCCAGATGATGATTGCTCGTTGTGACAAATCTTGGGTATGAAAGAGAGCTTTTGAGTGTTGTCAGGTGAGAGGTTAAACCAGAAATTTGGTGGGCGGCTATCTCGTCTCTTTATGGTGTGCATCCAGTCTTCAGAGATAACACTGCAAAAGTCTTTGAACGTTTTTCTTTTACCTTTTGTGTCTTTTCTCTCTTGACAGAATTTTCCAGATCACCTTTTTTTTTCTTTAAAAAGAAAAAATTTCTACCAGCTTGAATACCTAGCTTCATGTACCACATCACTAAAAGAACAAGTTTGCAGTTGAATTTGAAAGAGAAACTTCTTAATGCATTGTTTAATTGAGATGGAAATACTGGACCCACAAAGTCAGAGGCAAAATGCTCGTTGACTAAAGTGTAGGGCAAAAACTGGTTGTAGGTTTCCATTCTGATTGCCAGGTCTTGTGACCCTGATGGTGTTTACTGGTCTAATGAAAAGCAGAGGTCCATATGGCAGTAATGTTCCCCTTCTTCCTTGATGAATATTGTGCTGATCCCAGGCTTAGAGCAATGGCTTGGCATCTTTTTTGCACTGTTCATTGTGTGATGAATCATTCATCAGCCCACTGCATCATCAGAGTTCTGTTTGCTGTTTCTCTCTTTCCTTTTTTTATTGAGTGACACGTCTTACCTGCTTAATACGTTTACCTCTTGCATTGTGGAGCTGAAGCTCCAGATATGGAGTTGATAAGAATGCTTTCCTTTATTTAATTTTTAGGTGGATTCTCTTTTGATCCTCCTTTATGAGATTTTATTTATTCAAGGGACCCTTTGGAAACCCAGTCACATTCTCTCTTTTTTTTTTTTTGTCATTTCACTCTTCAAAGCAGCTCCCAAGCTTTTCTTCCTTCTGCCCTCAAATAAGTAGTATTATTACCTGAACGTTATTATTTTATTACAAATTGGAAAAAATTTCATTAAACACTTTTTGCTCAGTCAGGAACGTAATAATTTGGTAGCTGTTTTATCACTTGGCAGAACAGATTAACAATCAGTAGAAATGTTTAATACCCCATCCCACTGAGATCGCCTTAATACAATGCCTGCACTGTGTCTTCAGTGGATTTGTAAGGGACAGGCTATTAAACAAATGCCGTGAGGTGGACTGTGTTCTCCACCCCTTGCACACCTCCTACAATTTTGGAGGTCCTACAGGGATTTTCTGTTAATCTGCCTTCATTTTGTTGGTTGCTGAGATGTTCTGTGCGGAAGGATATTGTTGCGATGCATAAAGCACAGGTTTTCCCGCTGTAAAGGGAAAGCACCAGTATAAGGGGCTGTGGTAAAGTGAACTTTTCCCATATGAACATGCCTGTTTTGGACACTTAATTCCCTTCAGGCCCTATGTGACCATGGGCTGTGACTCAGCTTGGCTAAGGTCAGCAAAATCTTTGGGATAGTGACTCAGAAATCACCGTGCCCCCTGACTAGCTGAGAGCCACTGTTCAGCAGAGCGACGGGATTTGTATGCTGCAGAAATAAGTGTCTGTAATTGTACAGCTTTTTGGGGCTCTGCCTGACTGAAATCCTTTTTCTTCAGTGTAATATACATTAGCCACTATTGTTCATGTCCACATTAGCCACCATTGTTCACATCTGTGTGAAACGCGTGGCTTTCAAGGCCAGCAGAAACCATTATGTTAACCAGACGGTCTCTCAAGCGCTCCTGTAGATTTTTTCCCAGACTGATTCAGGCCTTTTTTATTTTTTCTTTTTATTTTTTCTTCTCTCCACAGAAAACGCGCTATGAGATTTATGTTGGCCTCCTGAGAGAAGGGGTGAAGGAGCTGCTGAGTGGAGGAGAGAATGATGGGCCAGGACTGAAGAAATCCCACTCGAGTCCCTCCTTAAATCAGGAGTCTCCAGTCAGTGCCAAGGTGAAACGCAACGTCTCAGAGAGAAAGGACTACAGACCAGAAACACCCAGCGTTAAGCAGAAGGTCACTTAGGGTGGAAATGGCAACGAGGGGAATATCCATGCAGCAGAACACCGGTGGTCAAACATTTTTCCTTTGATAAGCTGTCATTCACAAAAATAAGTGCATCTGCCTGATTGGGGTGTTAGTGACATTTTCTATTGTATATTTTGTTGTTTCTGTACAGATTGTGGGAGATGTCTTTGCTCCTGATTTGCTTTGCTTTGTTAATTTATCATTTAGCAATTGAAGCACATCCTTGGGGATTTTTTTGTTTTCTTCTGTTTCTAAAGGAGCGTGGGGGAGGGGTAGACCTCTGTGACTTATTATCTGTCTCTTCCCCTTTTATCTCCTCCCATGGGCACGTGGCTTTCATCTATCAAGTCACTTGTCACTTTATTTATGTGGTCAGTGGGTGAAGTAACTGGACAAATGCTGCAGTGTTGTGAATTCGGACTGTTGCTGTGAGAAGTGTGTGCAAATAGGCAGCTGCAGAAGGCTGGTTAGAGTCCAGGGGGCTGGGAATGGTGTTTTCCTGACAGTGCAGAGCGGGTGATACTGATACTGAGCAGTGCGTGCTTCAGTAAATAGGCACTGTTGCTTATGGTTGTGGCATTGACTCTGGACCCGCAAAGGCAAAGAAATGAAACCTGAAAATCTCTGGGAGTGCTGGGACGGCAGCATTGCAGTCATTCATTTGTTTCTTTCCTCAGGAAAGTCTTCTCCTGAGGTAGCAGACTGGGGGATATCGAAACCTATGCTGTCTCTGTGGCCAGAGATTACCCAGCCGGAATGAGCCTGGACTTTAAACTTATTTGCAAAGAGGCTACCGTAGATGCCAGCCATTATAAGCATTATGTTTTAAACACAGAGGGTGTTTGTGTAGTTTTTAACTATACACCCTCACTTAGCTGCTATACAGAGAGCCTTACAATAGATACATCATTCATCCATGTTCCCCCTTCCAGGAGTTTCCTTGTTGGTATGCACAGATATTTGCAATTTCTCTGCTAGCGACCGAGTATTTTGCCTTTTCTCTTCAGGAGGGGATTCTCCTCGGCTATCCATTTTCCTTTAGCTCATGTTTGAGTGGAACAGGCTGGCGCAGACTGGGGAGTGGGATAGACGTGTGCTCCTCAGGGCCAGAGGTCAATGCCATCCTGGCTGCTCTGTGTCTGGAGGTCAGCACAGAACAGCCTCTGATTTGGCAGATCCTACCCTCCACCTGCGTGAAGCAGCCTGCGTTGCAGCTCCAACCTGTCCCACTTCGGGCTTTTAGGGGCAAGTGCGGGATGGAGAGAGAGGAACGTGGCTAGAGATTTCCATACCTCAAAACCTGCTGTTTGCTCTGCGGTTCCTTGGGTGGTCCACAGTCTGGGCACTGGCGTCAGGGGATAAAAAGATGACGCAGAAATTCCTTTTTCACTTTTAGCCCCTCCAACTTTGGGCGCAGTGTGGCGTTGTGGAGAGCACACACTCAACTCACCCGGTACTTAACACCCTGGGTTTTAATCTCAGGTTTGATACTGGCCTGCTGAGTGAGCTCAGACAGGTCTCTTCTCCCTTTATGCCTCACACGTCCCATATGCAGAATAGTATAACCACGCTGGCCTTTTCCACAGGGCGTCTTGAAGAGGTACTGTTGAAGTGTCAGATGAAAGTTGTTGCTATTATTTTTTGTTGTGTCTGGCTGAGGTCAGCATTCCTGAATGATATAATTCTCAATGTGTAAAGAAGAGCCAAGATCAAGACCGTTTAGAAGTGTGCTGGTACTTCCAGCCCCAGTAGTTGTAGGCCATGCAAGTATCTCCATCAAAAAGATTACCACTGGAGTAGATTTGTGCTCTGCCAGACCTCCTGAAGGGTCCGAGTCAATTAGTCTAGCTTACTGAACTGCCAGTTTAGTGAGCAGCAAAGGGAACAATCAAAGCGAGAAGGACCTTTGCAGGAGGTGAATGAATTGCCTCCCCACTGAGGACCACTGTGCAACAGCTTTCCCTGTGCTGCGCTGGCTGTTGGCTGTAACAAAGACGTTGTGCTGCCAGACTCCAGGAGGTGTTCCAAGCTAATCGATCCTCAAAGCTGCAGCCCAGCAGCAAAACCGGAGGGAACTGGCTTTCCAGCGCGGTGATACGACGTGCAAGCAACGCGGCAAACAAATGTACTGCATCTGCCACTGAGAGTGGCCTCTCTGTGCCGTGAGTCAGGAAGTCAGCACCTACCCCCACAGCATCACTGAGGACGGCCTAGTCCCCAATGGAAACTGTCAGCTCTTCCCAAGCTTTGGGGCTTTGGTAGTTGCGTGTGCCTAGACTGCAGCAAGTGTCCAGGCATTTTCCTGAAGAAAAGATGCCTCCTGGTACTGAAGCCAAAGTTGCAGAAGTTTAGCGTAGAGAGGCGCAGAAGGATTGTTTGGATTACTCACTTAAGTGTGGTAGATCAACAGCTCCTGGAGGGGAAACAAAGCCAGGAGATCCCTGCAGCTGTTCATCATACCGTGGCGGCTGAAAACAAACAGAAGAGAAGTTACGCTAAGAGGAATAAAATCTCATGGGGAATGCTGAATCCACTTATTCGAGAAGAAAAAGTGTAACTGTCTTTGATATTGTGCTTCACGGGAAGCATGGAGTGGAAACAAAAGAAGTGGTGCAGATTTGTAAATGGGCCCTGTTGTGACCCCCTGCAGGGGGGGGTTCTCTAGATGGGCTTTTTGAAGGCAGCCTGGAACATGCCCAGAAGCCTATTGTGATGAGAGTGCAGTGCTTTTAAAGGCAAAGAGGTGACATTTAACTTTTCTTCCAGCTTTTAAAATATTCCAGCTGCTGTAGACTGCAGTTAAATTGCTGAGCTCAAAAAGGAAATGATTCCTGTAAAATGTGTTTTTGCAGCTTTGGCATAGAAACTGGTTAATTCATCTTCAAAGTCGTTGCAGGGGAGATGATTTGAAGCAATATGAAAAGTCAAATAGCAAACAGCGAAAGTGATTTTTTTTTTATTTATTTTTTCAGTTTTCATTATTTATTCTCTATTTCCGTATATACTTGTAAATGGATTGTGGTATATTTTTTATGTCTCATCCGGGCTTAGTAAATGCAGCTTTTCACTGCAGTTTTAGCTGTTAAATATTTGCTGGATTTAGGGCACTTAGGTGAGACTGCTGAGGTGTGCAGATTAGTTAACTGAGAATCCGCCTGGTTCTGCTCAAGCTGTAATTAATGCCATTTTGCTCAGTTGCTTTATGAACTCCAGGCACCCCAGGCTCTCAGGTGGAAATGCATATTTCAGCAGGTAGAGAGAAAATGGTGAAAGGAGATCCTGTTGCGAATGGCAAAACCTCCTGGAGTCCCATAAGAACATCTGCTAAGCAGTACTGTCATTTGCTTTCTTTCCGATGGTGCTGCAAAGGGTGGGGAGATCTGCAGGAGGTACCGGTGGTGAGTGCCAGCTGGCACCACGGAGAATCAGGCCAGTTAACTTTGCATGATGCCTGAGTAGCCTGACTTTCTTTCAAGGCTGCGACTGGTGGGTCACCACAGAGCATACCTATATCCAGCCCCCACGCCAGCCTTTGCTTCAGCACTGCAGGGAGGTTCGGTCCTCCCTTGTCGTCTTCCCTGACACCAGGAAGCCACATCCCTGCCCACACCTCGAGAGGGTGGACATGAGGAAGGGAGCAGGACTGGACCCAGAGGGACCAGTCCTGATTTAAAGCATTGACCATTGCTTAATCTCCACAGGCGAGAGCAGCTCTTCTGTCCTGCTGAGGGAGGAGAGAGGGCCTCCACTGGGCCTCCCCATAAATAAACAAAATTCATCTGACAGCAGAGAGAGGAGAGGAGAGAAAAGCATGAAATTGCCTTCCTCTCTCTCCACTCAGCAACCGAAGTGGGTGAGAAATTCTCCCAAAGCCAAAACGGCGCTCTCCTTTGTGAGTCAGCAGGACTCTGGGGTTTGGCTCAGATGATTTTTGTTTGTCAGGGGCTGCGCAAGAGAATCTCTGGGCTGGCTGTGTGTTTGTGTGCGTCTTGCAGATAAATCACGCATGGACCAGTGAACACGACTGCAGCTTTTTAATCCAGTATTTATGTTGTGTCTTTAATTGATGTAGAAAGATAAGCCAGCCAGCTGGGTGATTAATGTAGCGGAGCTGTGGGGGAACGCTGTTTAGCTGCGATGCCGATTCAGACAGTTTTTCATCTATAGCCAGCCATTTGTGAAGGGTTAGCAGAAGCTTTCTAGGGGCCGTAACTGCTCTTTGCTGAAGTGCCCTCTCTCGGGTCCCATCTGCTCCCAGGCTGCTGCCTGTCCAAATTCAGGGAGTCTTCTGGAGAGCTGTGTCCTGTCCTGCTTTGAGCAGCAGTTTGGACTAGGTGGCCCCCAGAGGTCCCTTACAACCTGCACGGTTTTGTGCCTTTCCAGGGTGCCCATGCCCTCCTGTAACAATGCTTCTGGCTCAGAGCAGTCAAGCTTTTTACCTCACTCTGGTGAGATGGCTTCCTGCTTGGTTAGAGATGCCTCTTCCTTCGGAAAATGATTGTGACAGTGGAGAAAGTCTAAGGTAGCAAGGTTATTGCTGAGTTTCTGGAGGGATTGCACTGGAATGTTCTTGAAAATAGGGAAGGTTTTTCCTCTGTAGATGGCACCTAGCAATACCATGTCTGCATTCTCCATCCCAGAATCAATTCTGACCTTCTCGCAGTTAGTCTGACAGCTCCTCCTCCTTTTCTGTCAAGCTGCTCCTGTCTGTCATCTTAGCGCCTCAGCTACTTCTGTATAACAGGTCTCTTTCTTTGCGTGCATGCAGAAATGCAGAAACTCTGACTGTCCCGTTCTTGCCTTGAGAAAACCTGCTCTGTGGTGGTGCTGCACTGAATGGATAACCCTTTGAACAGCTTTCTGATTCTGCTCATTTGTAGCCTGTGTTTCCCGATGCAGTTAAAGCTGGCTGGTGCAGGACAGAGTCACAGACCGTTGTGATCCTTTTGTGGTATGCTGCAGGGATACAAGATGTCCCTCTTCGCTTAGACCAGAAACTTGTGCTCCACCAGTACCAACTCTGGTCTCCTTTCCAAAAATAGCAGAGGCAGAGGCAACCCCTGTTGTGGGGAACCTTTGACAGGTTGTTTTGCAAGGAGTCAGGTACCTTGCAAATCAGGCTTTGCGGCCTTCTGGGGAGCTGTGTAAAACAGATGCCATTTTCAGACAGCACCCCTCAAGCGCAGAGATGATTAGCTAGGCGGTCAGAAACACTGGCTGCTTTTGCAGAGGCAAAGGCAGTGTGAACAGCTTATCTCAAACAATCTTCCAGCCGGCTACTTGTTTAAAAATTACCCAGCATTCCTCTCCCTGTGCTCTTGGGCTTCATGTCTCCCTGCAAAGGCACTTTTGAAGTCCTAAGCATGACCAAAACTCCTCAGCACCTGGTCCTGGTGCCTGCTGTCTAGGCTGCCTTGAGGGGCAAGCCAAAGAGGCTGCCTCAGAAATTCCTTTGAAAGAGCTGGTCTCCAGCCTATACTTTAAAGGGGATATTTTTTAATGCGTCTTTGTGCACTATGCCTGGCCTCTCCTTTCTCTCAGAGGTCTCCCACCATGTCCTGACACCCTCTGTGAATTTCTGCTCTCCTGTTGGCAACATCCAGTTGACAGTGAACGGAGGCAGGCTTAGCTCAGAGGGAAGGTACCTTGCTCATTCATTTTGTCAGCTATGTCGAGACTTCGTGTTAATTATTTATGGGATCACTTCCCTGAACAAATGCAAGCAACAGGTTTCCCAAAGACCACACCATTGACCTAACTTTGCTCCCATGGTCAAAAAGAGCAAATTTACGCCAGCTTGAAGTGCTTCTGTCCTCCCCTTTGACCAGTAAAGTACTCTGTACAAATCATACATTTTTAAACTGCCAGGGACCTCCTGTGTCATCTGTTGTTAAATCTGTGCCAAGGATCAACTGGGGTACAGGCCAGAGGTTTATTTGGGCCGAGTGTAAAGTGTTCTATTTAGCAATGAAAGGATTAAAAGTGCTACAAATTAAAAGGGTAGGATTTTTCTGACACAAGCCATTGTAATTAGTAGTCACTCAGTGGCACCAGTCCTGCATTTAATTCATGTTAATGAGACCAGTACAAGAAGATGCCTTTTGTGTAAGCAGGCAAGGTTTCAGCTTTGCCTTGGGCCAAATGAGT